TTTGGTTGTTTTATATGGTTTGTAAACTGACATGTTTACTCAGGGAAAGAAAGAGGGAAGATGTTTCCCAGAAAACTTTACATGGCACAATCTTTATTACTGTGTAAATGCTAAGAGATAATTACCTCAGGATTTTCAGGTTCACTGTACTTCCACCGCCTTATTTCAAACTTCCTTTTAAATATTATTGTGTGTGTGTAGGTGTGTGATGTAAAGAAAACTTTCAAGTCAAGCTTGAATCCTGGTAGTATGTCATTTTCTTGATAATATGATAATATTATTTCCATATATCTATATAGATATATAGATGCCTAGAGGTAGAGCTCTCACCTCCCAATTAGGAGGCTGTGAGTTCGATCTTAGGTAGAGGCAGATATTTCTCTCTCTGGGCACACTGAGAATATATCTGCTGAACAAAACTCTGCATTGGCAACAGGAAGGGCATCTGGCCATTAAACACTCAGCTCCATTCAGTTGCCGAGACTCTACCCCACAAGGGATTATGGGATCATTAAAAGAGGATGATACTGTATCTTCATCTTCCAATCAAATCAAATCAAACCTTTATTGTCAATCCACAACATGTGTACAGTGAAATTGAATCTAGCCTGGTGTCAGCCCAATAAGGTAGGACAATGCAAGAGTTACATGTTACTACATTTTTGTTATAGGGTATTATAACTGAATCATGAAATGCTGCTACATTTTTATTTCCCTTTCTATCAAATAGAATGAAGGTAACATTATTCTTATTCTTTTGTGGAGTACTTGATGCTCTCTAAGTTTGATTATTTGCTTGCAGATGTTTCATTACCAAATTAGATAACATCAGTACTGCCTTGAGACTCTTTTTCATGCCTTCTGCTTTCTCTAGATTCACCTGTACCTTATCTTCGTTTCAGTGTTCCTACTTATCCTTCTTCAAGGTTATCTCATCTATAATCTTGGAATTGCCTGGTGGCACCCACCCAAATACTAACCAGGTCCACCTCTCCTGAGTTTTCAAGTCTTAGAAATGATCAACCTCATGAATCTATCTGCTGGTATAGATCTAGATCTGGAAATTGAGTTAACTGACATCAAATAAATCAATAAAGCAGATATATATTGATTAACCTTTAGGGCATATCAACATACAGGTTCAAAAAATAAAAAATGATAGATTTGTACAGAAGAAAAATGGCATGGTGAATTACAGCCTGCGTGCTAGAAAATTAGGAAAATAATGGAGGATTAATATTTAAGGTTTTAAGCCTTTTCAATAAGCAGCATTTTTAAGTCTCTAGAATTTAAAATGTCAGGAGTCTCCTTGAATTTCAAAGTGCAATCTTGTGAATTCCTTGCTCATCCTAAGCAACTGAGGAGCAGCAGAACATCCTCAATAAGGATATGAAAACCAAGGAAATCTAAGCAATGGAAAATAGTAAATGGGGGCTTTTTTTTATAAACATTCAGCACTTGTTTGATTGGTAATCAGGGGGCAACTTTGCAGACACTAAATTGATTGAAACAGCTGTTTCAAACAATTCTGTTGAAGGTTATCACAAAACTATAGCAATTAAAAATTGGAAAGTCCCATTAAGACATCTTGCACTGATTCTGTTACTTCTCTGAAGTCAAATTGCTTCAGATCCCTTTTAATGAAATGTACTTTGATCACCCCTCTCATCTCCTTTCCCAGAAATCATTAATAGAACTAGTACTTTAGTATTTGCTTTTATTGAGCAATGAGCAAGTTCTGATTAGCTTCATCATGATGTAACTACTGCTGATTGTAGGAGGGAAAAAGTTTACTAATTATGAGAACTGCTGAATCTGAAGATAGTGATGAGAGAATAACACAGATGATGTCTAATCTGAGTTTGAGTATGCTTCTTTACTGATTATTTTAACCATTTTGGTTAGTAAAACGCAAGAATATTGTAGATGATTATGCTCTTTTAAATAACAAAGCATAGGATAATACCATTTTCTTTAAAAACTTCAAGACATCTCAGCCTTGGGATGTTCAACTCCTAATAGTTTTCAGAATATAATTTAAGATGTCAGAGTAATTGCTATTTACTGACAGCTGCCCCTAAAAATGCTTTTTATGCCCACTAGCAATAATTTTTAAAAAATTAAAAAGAAAGCACATCTGTAAAGGAACCACTGCCTACTAATTTGAAATATTAAACAAAAATGGAATCAAGACTAAAGTTGTAGTCAAGGTTGACTCAGTCTTCCATCTTTCCGAGGTCGGTAAAATGAAGACACAGATTGTTGGGGGCAATATGCTGATTCTATAAAAAAGCACTGTGAAGTCTAACTGCCATTGCTAAGAATAAAGCTGGGGATTGAGGAACCATATTAATTCTCACATTAGACAGTAGGGAGAACCATTATGTCAACAGCTGGATCAAGGCTATCAAAAAATCAGCCAATTATCTGTTGATCTGGAAGAGGAAAATGCCTAAAATTTAAACTTTGAACACAGAATATATAAGGACTTTGGTTTCTTTGCACTACAATAGACAATTCTTCTACAGCATGTGTATATAGCTTCTTTTCTGTCTGCAGTAAAGAGATTAATCTCATTTCAGTCATGTCCATTAGCCTTCTGTCACATAAGCCAATTCCTTCATAAGCAATTAAAGGTCTGGGCAGCTGAATTTAAAGCCATACCTTTGTAATGCCTGACATAAACATTTGGCACAGGCCAGCCCACATAACTTTACATCTGATTGCCAGCAAATACTCTTTTAAATCAACTCCTTGTGTAACATTCATTGTATCTGATACTCATAATGTGCTGTCCATAGCAAACTTAATCACTGAATAAGCAGATAAAATAATTCTGGAAAAGGACTATAACAAATTCTAAGGGTTGAAGTTCACTATAAATCCAATCCATATTCAAACAATACACCCTTCTCAGTGTTTCATTTTATCAAGTAAATCAGATCTACTGTATATCTACATTGTTTTCAAATTTCCACTCACCAACAATCTCACTTGGCTCTTTGTTATAGAGTTTCTTGTTCCAGTAAAGTAGCCGTAGAAAAGGAAAGGAAACCAGAAGTACAAGACACATTCCAATAAACATATGCCCCGTAAATTCAGCAAAGTCCAACCCCTAGGGAAAAAAATACAGTTGAAATACAGTTAGTTACAATGGTTCTAATCAGTGAAAATGGAAATCAAAATGCAGTTTTATGTGATCAGACTGTCTTTTTAATAGCACCCTTAAAGTTATGTCTCTGTTAGAAGAAGCGCATCTTAAGGTGAGCTCGCAAATTCCAGTTTCTTCCCCCATTTAGCTTTCCATGGCTGGAAATATGCCTACCATTTTTGATGAAAAATGGCTATCATGTGAAAGAGATTTAGAATATTACTTTTTACACACACACACACCATTGCACCTCCCTCTTGGTCTGTTACGCTATCCTAGAAGATAGTTTAAGATAGCATTTATCAGTGTATCATTATGAATTGGCTTAAAAAATAGCTTTCATCGCCTGAGTCTTTAAAATATGTTTATGACATCAAAAGATAAAGATGGAAGACAAGTTATAATTAATAATTTTAATTTAAACCATGAACAAAGAAGATAAGAAAGATATAGGCTATACCCCATCCAAAGTCACTTCTTGAGAAATGGGTGACCATATAGATTTGTAAGTAAGTAAGTAAGTAAGTAAGTAAGTAAGTAAGTAAGTAAATAAGTAAGTACGTAAGTTAGTAAACAGACAAGTAAGTAAGTAAGTAAGTAAGTAAGTACATAAGTAAGTAAGTTAGTAAGTAAGTAAACAGACAAGCAAACACAAAAACAAATACATAAACACCATTTCTGTAATACAAATAAGTGAATATAGTTTTCAGTTTTGGAAACAAAATAATTTATAACAGAACCTATTGCAAATCAGTTATGCTTGCTAACAAAACACATTCTTATCATCATACTGTAACAAACTAGCAAATCTAAATAGATTCAGTCACTATGCACTATATTTTTAACCAAGTATGACTCATTAGAGGTACATCAAGAAATATTTATACTAAATGCAAGCAGAGGTAGTCTTTGCTTATCAACGGCCTCATTTAACAACTCTTCAAAATAATAACTATTTGGGGGGAAAAACGTTTTGCAACCAATCCTCACATTTAGACCCATTGCAATGCCCTGTGGTCATATAATTGCTATTTATGTGCTTCTCAACGGACTTCTAAAGAAGCAGAATAAATAGAGAACAAAGAAATGAAATCATAAGTCACAACCATACAATGATTCAATTAAAGATAGCAATTATTCATTTAGTGACCAGTATTAGAAAGTTTAAATCTTTAATGCAGAAAAAGAAAATAAATATATTATCAGGCAATTAGAAATGTGTTATATCATGTCTTATGCAAGATAAAAACAAAGGTTTTTTAATAAGGTTTTCCTGCTTTTATCTGTAACTGCCCAGAGTCACTCTGAGAGTGAGATGAACAGTCTTTAAATTTGATTTAAAAATTAAATCAATCAATCAATGAAAAATCTCATGAAGGTAATAAACCTCCCATCAGCCAGTGCAATTTTATTTGCATCCCATATAACACAATTCCAATGTATAGTCAACTCAGAAATGAATTCCATTGATTCTTTGGGAATTAATCTCAAGCATGTGGATATAGATTTGAAGGCTTGATAATAAGGTAGTTACTATATTTTGATGATGATCAGTAAATTGAACTTTAACATTTGAGGAATTTTTTGGTCTTAATATTCATTTTTCTAATTTAAATTATTCCTTGAAGAACCATTCTGAGGAAAAAACAAAAAAGTGAACTTTTGTTTATATGTAATAATGTAGTGTCAGAATGGATATATTCATCATTATTATTTATTTATTTATTAGACTGTAGGCTATATCAACGTACAAGGTTCGAACATGTGTTACCAATAAAATCCTATATAAATCATTTAAAATAAGAGTAGGGTAAAATGCAATAATTCCAATCAGGCCCACATATGCCAATCTCAGTCAGACCATTTTAGTCAGAAATTGTGGTGTATTAAATGTCATTTTCAAATTCTGGCCACACATGAGGTATGTTGTTTTAAAATGTTCATTTTTCAACACAGTAAGATAAGTGAATCAGTAATACACAGCAACATCTGTACATAGAGATTTGTTGTTGTTTTAATTAACACAGCAGAGAGCAATACATACCATCTTCCTGAGTTCCTGATTGGAAACAATTATCACATTTGGAGGATCCCCAATAGCTGTAGCAGCCCCTCCAATATTTGTGAAGATAACTTCAGCAATCAGGACATGCCTGGGATCAAGATTGAGCACCTCACATAACCTGCAATTCCACAAAGAAAATACCAAATAATATCCTTGCTGGGTGACTTTTTAAAAACATTATTAATATTTTTCTTTAAAACATAACTACAAAACAGAGCCTATTAAGAGCACCTGAACTATCATACAAAAATCAAGAGTAAACTAAAGACCAAAAGCAAAAGATAAAATCTGTATAACTTCAGTTTAATGTTAAATATTAACATAGTTTGCCCTTTAATTTTTGCTTCAATAAAATTAAAGTGTCAGCATGGAATATACGTGATAGGTCTTCCATTAATTTTCTTTAAACAATTCAACCTTCCAATTCAAAAACAGGAGAAATGATAGGGTTTTTTTAATTGAAATGCATGGGCTTCCTGACAACTACAGTAAAGCATAAGACATAATGATGATGACAAAAGTTGGAGCCAACAGTATTGAGAAAGCTACAGTTATCCACTCCTACTTTATAGTTTGAGATTGGAGAAGAACAAGTTAAAATGGATGGCACAGAGTATCTTAAAAAAAATAAGAATATGTGCAACAACAGTATAATTGGAGCAGAACAAATTATTTTGCAAAAACATGCAACATCCATAAAACCAATTCTGATGGGTAAATTTTGCCTATTAAAGGATGTTATAGGATTTTCTTCTGGGTCTAGATTTATTTCCAATTTTCCACAATATTTTATATGAAGAAGCAATGTTGAGTAGCAGTCCCATGGAAACATGAGTGAGAATGGGTTTTTTTTTTTCCTTAAACATAAACTGTGATCTTTTCTTTTTAAAAAGTGAGTTTGCCACAAAACCTAACAAGAAAATAAGATCATATTTCATGCATCATTGGTAAAAAGCTAAATCCCTATTGTCAGGGAATCAGGAGAAATTGCTACTAAGCTTCATCACCATGGTAATAAGAGCTTACAAAATCATTTAAAAATTGGACTGAAAAAGCCTGGGAAAGACAGTAGCAATAATTGGATGATTAAGAAAACCATGTAAGAGAAGAAATATATTACATATTTCAAAACTCTTCTTTAAAAAAACTATTACTATATGTGAGTTCCCCACTATAATATGAAAACATTTATTTATTCACTCATTGAGTATGTGTTCCTCATTCTATTTGGCAAGACACTCATGTGAATAAAAATATATTTGAATCTAGAAATTGTGTTTAATATTGTTTCCAATTACATCAACATTTGAAGGCCTATGGGGGGGAAAGCATTCACCATAAAATGCTAATGGTATCACTTCCTTGGAGTGAAAGATGGAGTTCTCCCAACTTGGTAAGACGAGATAAGTTAAGTAATAGTTAAATTGCTATTGTATCAAGTGGATTTGGCTGTTTAATCTTCTGTTCTCACACAGTTCTCAAATCAACAAGCAGGTAAGGGAAAGGAATTTCTAGAACAGCAGCCCCCAACCTTTTGGACACCAGGGACTGATTCCTTGGAGAGAGGTTTTTCCATGGACCAGAGGGGACATGGTTTCACATGCTGACTGCATCCCACGAATAGGGCTTTGCTTGTTTGCACAGCCTGGTTTCTGACATGCTGTGGAGTGGTGCTAGTCCATGGACCAGGGGTCGGAGACCCCCTGGTCTAGAACATGAATAGAAAAAACTTGTGAGTATGATGCCCATAATCCTTTAACATGTTGACCATGGCTGATGCTGACTGAAATAAAAACAGAAGGAAGGAGTGGGAAAATACTACTAGAAAAAGAATAGAATGAAGTAGAGTGCAGGGAATGAGGTTTGGAGTTGATATGCAGATAAAAGGGACAGTCAATTCTTTTTTTCAGTGAATGACTTTACCTCACCATTGTGTTCATTTCTAGACTATGTTTAATTCTGGAAGTGATTTGGATTCAGAGACAAAAAAACTGTCCAAAGCAAGGTAACACAGAAAAATGAGGGCTGCATCTATCTTCTATCTACCTATCTACCTATCTATCATCTATCTAAGCATCTTCATTAGTTTCTAAAGTGTAATGTTAGGCAGGCCATTGATACTACATTGGGAAAGTAAAATTGGAGAATACCAATAGTGGAAAATTGTTTAGATATAATCTTAGCAGAAATCTGATCAAATTCAAGAATTGTTTCCTTTTATACAACATATTACACAACAAGGTACACTTGGACTTTCTTTGAGAAAAAGAGAAACTGTTTTAAAAAGTAATCCAAATGATCCACATAGATATGAGCAAGAGTTGCAGATGTCTAAAATATAGTATAAAATATGTAACCAGAAATTAGTGGATGGGGTGGAAAAGGGAGGGGAAGAAAGACCACTAAAATGTATTGCCCTATAATATTCTATCTTCTTTTGTTTGTAATCATATTTTCATACAAGTTTTGTATATATTATGCAATTGACTATGTACCATCAAGTCATTGTCAATTTTTAGCAACCACACAGATATATTTTCTGCATGATTATTTTTATGTAAGTGTATTCTTTTACATTTTTGGTTTTTTGTTTTACCTAATTCATAAAATAATAAATAAAACCCAGGGGGAAATGCAGTTAAAAATGTAATAAAAATGTGACTACCAAAAATAATTTTAGAAAGCCAATTCTATTCTAAAAGAATCAAATAGATTGAGAAAAATTAATTCAGTACTGACAATACAATTAAGCAGAATTGATAAACATTTGTCCACTGGGGTGAACGTTATTTTAACCAAAGGAAAGGGCAAAAAGAGACAGTTATTAAAACAATGTTCAGCTTACTAGAATATAAAATACATATATTTATACACAATAGAGGTAATTATATAGGTAAAGGTTGTAGTTGTCTAGTTGTATTTGATTCTAGAGGGTGGTGCTCATCTCCATTCTTGGCCGAGGAAACCATCATTGACTGAAGATGTTTTCGTTGGTCATGTGGCCAGCATGGCTATAAGCCAAAGGCACATGGAACACTGTTACATTCTCACAAAAATGGTACCTATTTATCTACTCACATTTGCATGCTTTTGAACTGCTAGGTGGACAGGAGCTGGGACAGGAATAGAAGTTCACTTCATCATACAGCACTCAAGTCTTGAACCTGGGCTGACAGCCTAGTTTAAAGGTCTTTAAGCATTGAGAGCTAGACTAAAAGCAACTTCAAGGTTGCTGAAGTATTTCAAAAAACTACATAAACATAACAGCTCAGGAAGATTGCCAGCTGCAATTTTGGCAAAAATTGGCTTGCGGATTCTCTTTCTTCTTTGATTATTTAGAATAGTTTTCATTTTCCAATTCTATATAGAATAGAACAAACAGTAAGATACAATGAAATATTAAGTGAAGAGGGTGAGCTGAACTCTAAACAAGAACTAGAGGAACAAGAAATAGAGATGAACTGGTATTCATATGTGCAAATACATTCTAGATATGATAAAGATCGTAGGACAGAAGGATTTTATAATGAATTTACTGAATTAGATGGGATTCTGACAGGTACTGATGAGAAGGTGATTAAAAGATTATATGAATATTTACTTGGAGTTAAATTAGAAGAAGAACAAGTTAAAGAAATAATGATTTTGGATATGGGATAGATTTAGAAAGATGGCAGAAACTATGGTCTCAAAACTATAAAATAACAATGTCAACAGCATATAAAGAGAATTTGTATAAGATGTTTTACAGGTGGCATCTACCCCCGGCAAGGATAGCAAAGATGTTCAAGAATAAATTGGAGAAATGTTGGAAGTGTCATCAGATACCTGGATCATATTATCAAATTGGTGGATGTGTGTGGAAGCCAAGTGATACTGGACTAAAATTCATACATGGCTGGAAAATGACAAAACAACATATAGACTTGAAACCAGAAATATTTTTATTGGGTATCTTACCTGAAGGATACAGCAAAGAATTGACATATTTGATTTTAAATGTTTTGACAGCAGCTAGAATTGTATTTGCTAAAAACTGGAAAAGTGGGAAAATACCAATAGAAGAGGAGGTGATTATGAAAATAATGGAATGTGCAGAAATGAGTAAATTGACATTAGCAATTAGAGAGCAAGAAGATAAAGAGTATTATAAAATTTGGGATTTATTTTATCAATGGTTAGAAAAGAAAGTAGGGAAATAAGATATAATATAATATAAATATGATAAAGATAACAAAAAATAAAGATATCAAAAAGGATGATATAGTCTATAAGTAAAATCCAATAATAATAGTTAATAATAATATAATACAATGTGCACATTTATGTAATATAAATTTTAGTAATGCATTTAGAAGGGAAGGATTGTTGATATTGTGCACAAGAAGATTTGAACCGACCAACATGCTGTACAATGGAAAGAAAGGTTTTATGTTTTGTGTTTATGTTTTTGTGTGTTTATGTTTGTTGTTTAAAAAAAATTATTAAAAAAAGAATAGTTTTCATTTATTCCAGCAGAAAGACATCAGTAGGGTTTGTTTGTTGCATTGTTGTCTCTCAGCACAATATCTTGTTTCACTGTTCCTGAGAAGAATCACAAGTGACTTGAAACAAGGGTTTTTATATTGCTACTCAGAGAGTGAGTGCATACGCTGATCCACTTGGAAATGCTTTTACCCTGTTAAGTACTTTTCTAATATTTTGTGCCAATCACAGATTAATGCTTCCATGAAAGGACCTTTTACAACATCCTATTTCAGAAGTTTCTGCCCTTAGCAAATTTGGCAAAATCAAGACTATAGCACCACATTATTTTTACTCGCATGGCACACAGATCTATTAATGTGATCATAACTTTGGTTGGCTGAATTAGGAGAACGGTCTCTTTTTTTTTTTTAATTAGCCGATAAGTCTTCAGTAATGTTCTTTATAGCTAACTCAGTATAACAAATCTAATTTCAGGAGCAATTATTTTATACAGACAGATTTTAAACTATGTTTACTGGTATGGGAAATGAAAATATAGCCTACTGATCTATTAGATAAGAAAAAACAAGGAAAGTTGTGAAATGTGTTCAGAAAAGTATAAAATGTATGTCTTGGGATGAGATCGGTGCCATTGGTCTATAGCTGTCTTTATTGGACCAAGCCATGTCAGTGGACCTCATTGCAATGTGTTATTAATATAAGTTGTGTTATGATGGTTGCTTATGTTCCTAATTATTAGTGGAATAAATCTCTGAATCGCAAAGTAAGAATTGTTGGTTTGTGTTGTTGTCTTTTGTTTCTTTGACTGCATTTTTCTACAACACTGGTTTTAGCTTTTGCTTAATTATTGACCAATTTTACTACGATTTCTAAAAGTTTGATATATAGATAGATAGATAGATGGATGGATGGATGGATGGATAGATAGATAGATAGATAGATAGATAGATAGATAGATAGATAGATAGATAGATAGATAGATATAAAATAAAGCAAAAGAATAAATGAAATAAAACCAGAAACAGCTGTATATCATCTATCTCAGAATGCTCATTTATTATTGCTCAAGGAAAGAAAAACTGTGGTATGGATATGGAAGAGGGCATGTTAGACTTCATGCAATTAAAACAAACTCCTTAGTTTCATTATAGGTTCCACTTCTATTTTTATAATGTGCTATTTTACTTCTATTTATATATGATTTATACATAAATGTCTGTCTGAACCTTTTAACTCCTTGCCCATAGTGGAAAAAATAAGATATGAATGCAATCAAATACATAATGTACTGCAATACATATGACAATTCAAAAAATACCTTATAGTGACTGGAGTAAAGAGGAGCACTGTAGTAACATTGTCCAGAAAGGCTGATAGAATTGCAGCAAAAAAACAGAGAATGATAATCATGGTCCAGACCTTACCTCGAGAAAGTTTATAAGCCTAATAAAAAGATGCAAAAAAAATAGTGAAATAGATGACGATCAACAACATGGTGCAAATTTCAACAGATCAGCTGTTCTTCTCATGACATACATTAGGGATTCTGTTGGTGTCAAGAGAAGAGTTGAAGTTCTAGATCAGAGGCCACCAAATTTGGCAATTTTAAGACTTGTGGATTCAACTCCCAGAATTCTCCAGCCAGCTATGTTGGCTGAAGAATTCTGGGAGTTGAAATCCATAAGTCTTAAAGTTGCCAAGTTTGGCGACGTCTCTTCTAGATACCGTGTTTCTCACAAAATAAGGCCGGGCCTTTTTTTTTTTGACACCCCCCCCCCAAAAAAAGCTAGACCATCTTTTGGGGGTGACTTAATTTCCTCCCCCACCTAGAGCGGCCCATACATACTTACCTTGCCGTGAGGCCACTTCTATCGGCCGACAAAAGCTCCCCGAAGGCAGACTCCCCAGCCGCTTCAGGGCGTGGCATGGCTGCCCGTGTCCCCTCACCTTTAGGTAGTCTCTTTTGGGCGATGGAAGCTCCCCAAGTGCAGTCACCAGCCGCTTCGATCGGCCGGTAGAAGCAGCCTTGGGGCGAGCACACACACACACTCCCCTCACCACAAGGCCGCTTCTACCGGCCGGTCAAAGTGGCTGGTGACTGCACTTGGGGAGCTTCCATCGCCCAAAAGAGACTACCTAAAGGTGAGGGGACACGGGCAGCCATGCCATGCCCCAAAGCGGCTGGGGACTCTGCCTTTGGGGAGCTTTCGTCGGCCAATAGAAGTGGCCTTGCGGCGGGGGGAGTGTGTGTGTGTGCTTGTGTGTGCTTGCCCCAAGGCCGCTTCTACCAGCTGATTGAAGTGGCTGGTGACTGCACTTGGGGAGCTTCCATCACCCAAAACAGACTGCCTAAAGGCAAGGGGACACGGGCAGCCACGCCATGCCCCGAAGCGGCTGGGGACTCTGCCTTCGGGGAGCTTTTATCGGCTATCGGGGTATTCTAGCCTAGGCTATCTGCAGGGCACTCCTAAAGGCAAGTTTCTCCCCCCCCAACCCGCCCTTCCCCCCCCCCCATTTCTTTTCACCTCGTGTAGTTCTAACGAACGATGTGAGAAATGGCGGGGAAATGCATGGATTAAATAGGCCTAAATTTTGAGGGCGGGGCTTAATTTCACCTCATGCCTAGAAATCATGCTGGGCCTTCCTATTGGTGGAGGCCGTATTGTTGGAGAAACACGGTAGGTATTTTTATATACTTCTTAAACTCTTGTGACTTTACTATATTGTAACCTTCAACTGGGCAAAATACTGCATCAAAAACACTGCATCACTCAGCAAGAGTACCCCACAAGGGCTAATTTACAGAATATTGGGACCCATTATTCCCAAGGGATCGAAATTTGGGGGATGTTTTGTCATTTTGGTGACACTGTGTGGCAGTGACAGCTTCCCACAAGTCAAGGGGAAATAGGAGGGAACTACACATTTTGCCATCCTCTTATTGACAAAATGTGCTTCTCGGAAGCTTTTAAGGAGAAATGAAGAAGTGGAAAAATGGTCCAGTCCTTCTGCGCTCATACTCTACTGGACCCTCATGCATTCCCTCATTTCCTCCCACAGCTGATAGCAGCTGCTTTCCTGCCTGCTGGGAAAGGACGGGGACGAGGGGAAGGACAAGGGGGAAGGGGAGACAAAGGGAAGTGGAAAGGACGAAGGGAGGGAGGAAGGATTTCTGATGCCCACTCCCTGCCAGCTTCCTACAAGAACCTCACCGGGAAGCTGATCAAAAGTAAGAAGTCTCTCCTGCCCCCATTGATTATTTGTCTGCAGTCATTTTGTTTCTCTGTTCAGGTATGGAAATATACTGTAACAATGACCCAATGGCTCATAGGTTACCTAGTTTTTATTACTATACATGCTATTACTCAGCCTGCCTCTAATATCAAAACATCTTTAATTTTTAATATGAAACTTAAAACAACAATGTCATTGACATATTTCTCCATGTACCTGTTGTTGCTTTTAAGAAATTAAGGCCTGTGGGAAATTGCAATGCTACATGGGAATCAATGTCTACCTATAGTCCCTTGGTTACCACTGTAAAATTCAAGATTTCTATCAGAAGACCTTTTGGGCAAAAAGTAAATATTATCAAAGTTTAAATATAAGTGCATTTCAAAATTGTTCACAGTAGTCTAATATGGATCCAATAGGAAACAATTATTTGTCAGTTAGAACAAAGGCTTTGAGTAATGTACTTCCGCTGATTTTCTTTTCATTTAACAGACAATTTGGCTTCTGATTTCGATTAACAACAAAGTTTCAGTGATAAATCCTGAATCATATTTATAATTATAATTAAAACTAGCTAATAATAGCCATTGTTTAAAGCAGACTTATTTCAGATACACAAGAGAAGAGACTATATGTAGCTTGGGGCTGAACTGCAACATTTTTTATGTTTTATGAGCTTGCTTGTTACTTAAAAAACATTTCATTACCCAGCTAGGTAACATCATCAGTGCTAATGAATGTACAGTTTCCTCCCTGTTTATTTCCAGTCATTTGCAAACAGATATGTAACCCAGCTATATATAGTAGTAGATATCCAATATTTAACATCACCTCATGGATGAAGCTACTCTCTCAATCTTATTGAAGTTGTGCAATGTAAGTGCTGTTAACTGCAATAAAGATTAAGAATGTGTCCTAAATCTTTGTCAAGTCTTCTGAAATAGTACCTCTAAATTTCATCAAATTGGTTAAGATCTTTACAAAACAAAGCTAGCATTTTTGTAAAGACAGTCAGCATTACTCAGAGCAAAACTGAAACAATTGAACCGAGAATGATTCAAGCACACTTTTCAGTGTAATGTACACAGAAAGTATTTGTAACTACTTAACATTAAAAACAGACTCACCTTTACTGCACAGTAATCAAAAAACCCAGTTTCCGAGAAGATAGCAACCAAAAGCATCTATAAAGACAGAAATATTTTGAAAGAGCTGTGCTGCTATGTTTGAATGTGTTTTACATAGGTAAATATGACTCTTTTGGAGAATCTTTCAGATGAAATTGAATATGTTATTTTCCTTTAGTGAACTAATGTCATTAAATGAATTTCAGTGCAAATTCTTTTTCAGAGTTGAAAACAATTGTTTGGGGGATTCTTTTTTTTAGAGTGGATAGGAACGTGCATGACTTCAGTGACTGATCTTCAAACATATGAATGGTCACAAAGCAAGTAGATTATTCCTAAACCTTTATTTTGAACGTATTTCAGTTTTGGATAAACCCAATATTGATACAGGTTTGAATCATTCCCTTGCAAGTTAAAAGGAAAATTGCTAGCCATTGGGAGGCAGAAGCTGTACCTTTGGGATTAATGCTATATCCTTGCAACTTGGTAGTACTCTACCAGTGATATTTATTTCCTTAATATTTCAACACTTCTGTGTAGCCAGTTATGTGTGCCTTCTGCCCTTTGCCTCACCCAAATGCACAAATGAACATTTTCAGGAAAACAGCACATAGAAGGAGGACTCAGTTAGTACCGTATTTGCCGGCGTATAAGACGACCCGGCGTATAAGACGACCCCCCACCACCACCAGAAACGCCCTCCAGAAATCCCCGGGGCTGCAGCGGCAGGGCGGAGTGCCAGGGGCCGTGGGAAGAGCAGGAAGGCTGCAGCCTCGGGCGGAGCGAGGCGAGCGGGATGAAGCGGAAGCGACGCAGGGGATCCGGGAAGCCAGAGGCGCCTTCGCTGCGTCCAACAAGCATCCGAAAGCCGGCAGTGGATATACCGGCGTATAAGACGACCCCCCCACTTGGAGGCATGTTTTTCGGGGCAAAAAAGTCGTCTTATACGCCGGCAAATACGGTAAATGTTTCAGTATTACTATAAAACTCAGATGCTCAACCTCATTTCCATAAGTTCCATTACGGGGTGAGCTGGGGCCTCCCCGCCACAGACCCATCAAATTGGCAGAAGGCTATGGGCAGTCTGAGTCCCAATTTCTCTACTACCTCTGGGCTAACTACACTCCTGCTGTAACCCAAAGCCAATAGGGCTAACATCCTCCCCTGGGTGCCCAATGAGGGCACCACTGACTCCACCGGGATGGTCACAGGGACCACATTCAATTTATCAGAGAGTCATTGTCAGAGTCTACATATACATTTGAGTGTGTCTCACTCCCGCTTTATCTAGCACTCCAGGGTGAAAATGCTGCTGATTCCCTATTTATATCCTCATAGGGGACTACTATGGAACTGTGTTTTATGCAGAAAAGTATAACCATTTGTTGATATTTTTTTTCACTTCAGTTAATGGAGATATTTTTCAAAGCAGATTTATTTGTTTACGCATAATAATTAACCCTAATGAGAAATACCACCAGGCCAAAGTCAAGAAATTTAGAAGCTATAAGCATGTAAAGCAAAATCTTGTACTCACAGCATGCGTTCTCATCTACAGTATACAGTGAAAGAATGAAGATTGCTCTTTCTCATCAACTAGCTCAGAAACAGCCCCCCTTGAACTGATCCAAACTGAGTAAAGTTCTAGGGGTATGTGTGTGGTGTGTGTATACACACACACACACACACACACACACATATACCTTGGATCTTTTTATTTATTTATTTTATTTTTTATTTATTTGATTTGCCAATTGTTTACAAGATAATAAGTATAAGTGCATACATAGTTGTGAATACATGAAATGGGTACATAGAAGAAAAATAAAAGAAGAATAAGAGAAACAATAGGACAGGGACGGTAGGCACGTTGGTGTGCTTATGCACGCCCCCTACAGACCTCTTAGGAAAGGGGTGAGGTCAATAGTAGACAGTCTAAGGTTAAAGTTTTTGGGGTTTGGGGAAGAGACTACAGAGTCGGGTAGAGTATTCCAGACATTGACCACTCTATTGCTGAAGTCGTATTTCCTGCAATCAAGTTTGGTGCGGTTAACTTTGAGTTTGTATCTATTGTGTGCTCTTGTGTTGTTATGGTTGAAGCTGAAGTATTCATTGACAGGTAGGACATTGCAGTGTATGATTTTATATACCATGCTTAAGTCAGACCAGAGCCATGTGCTTAGAAATCAAGCCCTTGAGAAGAGCAGTTGCCTATTCTTTCCCATCCAGATTCAGGGAGAGGATTGGAAAGAGACAGCAGTTCTTCACCTAAGACCAGGTGGTAACAGTTTAACCACTTGCCCCAGGTAAGATAATTTTCTCTCAGGGAGATAACAGCACCAAGATACCTTGGAAAAGGGGTGACCTGAAAAAGCCTGAAGGGATTGAAGACCCAGGCAGTGACTGGCAGGCTAGTGGTACATACTTGTGACCAGTTCCTTGCCATATTTGGGGTGCATTCATTCTTAACATGTTAAGTCCAAACAGTTTTTAAAAGGAGCTAATGCTGAAACTCTTCCTGCCCAACCATACATATGAATGATAGTAACCTGAAAGGTTTATATATAGTATTTTTTAAAAAAAAATCAGATCTTTTAAAGTGTCATGAAAATGTTTAGTTACCATTCCAAACAATAGTGCCAGAGTTTCATAATCAATCCATGCCACTACTTTGATCAGGCTCGGCTTCTGCAATTAAAGAGTATAATTATCACTGAATCACATTGATCTTTTTATCTAGTCATTGAATCTTGGAAATTCAAATTCTTTTTTAAAAAACAATTTCTTAAAGAAAATGACTCAATATTTTTGCAAGGAACCCAGATCTGAAACCTCTTTGTATTAGCAAAGGTAAAATGGAGAGGGATTTACAGTATTTATAACAATATTGATCATATATTAAAATAAATGAAAATAAATGAAAATTATATAAGTATGTGCCTTCATTTTACCGACAAAAATACTTAGGAGCATTTGAAAGAATGTAGAGAGAAAACAGTTGAAAAAAACTAAAACAATAAGGACAAAAAGGCAATTTTTTAAAGCAGCATTTTTCAAAATATCTGCAGTGATATACTGCTAAATGAACATCTGGACAATATGTGGATCGTATAAGGAAGAAATATTTTTCAGTCTGCAAAATTGGGGTTATTTGTTTTTGGCACCCCCTTCATTTTTAAAGACTTTCTTGAAATTCAATTTCGAGCCACCTTCTCAAAAAAAGTAAGTGTTTATTACTTTGATCGACCATTTTTCAACCAATGATCCATTTTTTTTGGAAACAAACCGAGTGACAATGAAAGCTGGGAATTGGGGGTTGCAGCAATGAGCAATGAGCTCTGCCCTAGTCAGCCAACTGGCAACCACTTGTGCCTGGCAGCCAAATGGAACTCTATGATAGATAATTTGTACATTTCCAGGGACCACCAGAGGTTCCCAAGTCACATTTTGATAATTCCTGTTGTAAAATTGTCTGGGCATTATGGAAACTAAGAATGAATGAGCTGTAAGGATGAGAAAACAATGCCAGCAGAAAATAATCACTAGTCATTCATGAGTGAACATCCAAATATAACACTTTTTTTTTCCTTATCAGAAAAGGCTATGTGTAATTTCCCCCTCATTTAAAAATGCAAGCAATGTTTTGGTTTTTTGTTTTGTGTTATGATATCATGAAGCAAGTTTCAATCTTTGGGCATCATGGTGGTTAGCCATGGATGCCTCCTCAAATAACGGTTTTGATGTTTTAACAAATGAGAACCAGCTGTATCTCTGGCAATCTCAGCAACGGGCTTTACTGTATTGTTTGCTGAGCCTTATCAAGAGATTTGCTGTGAAGAAAGGAGAGCTGAACTAAGGCTATGAGCACAGAGAACATGGGAATGAAACAAAGTTACGGCTAAGGGTAGAGCAGCTGAATCCTAAAAATCAGCAAATTACTCTTTCAGCACCATTAATATGTGTGACCTATATCTTCAAACTAGATGAGAATGCATTTTGAAATTGATTCTGCCTTTTCCCATTGTACATATAACATTATTTCCATGGTTCCCATCCTTGTTGACATGTTTCCTTATGTATCTTTTTGCAGTGTTGTGTCCCTACTAAACTGGGAGTTTAACTACAGATGCCTTCTTTAGGCAAAGACACAAACTATTCATGGCACAGCAAAGTTAAACCAAAATCCGTACCCAAGAGTTCTGAGTAATACAGATAGGAGAGCTTGCTACTTACATCACCAATTGTAGCTAAGGCAGCCAAGGCAGCCAAAGATCCCAACATTGCAGCTAATGTCCTGTGGACAATCTGTAGAAAAGTAATGGGCAATTCTGTAACAGAGTCCTTTGCAAAATTAAAATTCAGTTGTTGAAACATTGCATCTCCACAGTCTTTCTCCAATAGGTCTTCAGTGTGATACAAAGATCTACTCACAATCACACAGCAGATTGCTTAGAGACACACTTATTGTATACAGATTGACTCCTGCTTAACTGTACAGGTAAATCAGGCCATTAAATGGCAATACATCCTTCTTTTTCTGAGTTTACAGGAAAATGCATGATTTAACTGTAGAAAGTCAGCACCTTCTCCCTTCCCCAAGAAGAATGAAATATTTTAAGGAATATTAAAAAGGCAGAATATTATATTTCCCTAAATGAGAAATGGAGAAACATGTTTTTTAGAGGCAGGAAGCAGCCTCAATCTCCCTGCCCCCAAGCAGAAACTGAGGAGGCAGCTTTTAGAAATGCAGTTTGGTAATGCATTCAAGACAGGGTATTTTGAAACTCCCTGCAGCAAAGTCTGAACCAAGGCAGAATGTTAGGATTAGAAACATCCCCCTCACTCAAGATCCAAAACAGGATGAAAGCCATTAGGCCACAATATGAATTGCCCAACACCCTTTCAGAACACAAGACCCTTTATTGCACCATCCCAGAGTAGTCCAAACCACAACTGGGAGCTCAGATAAACAGTAAGCCAGAGGCTGACCAGATTAGTTCAGACAAGCACTTAGGATTTGCATTTCCGCTTTTGCCTATAGAGCCAGATATGACCCCTACATAACCCTTACACAACCCACTAGGAATCTGACAACAGCTAATAGAATATTAAAGGACATGTTTTTGCAGAGGAACAGGAAGCTCAAATACAAAGCCAAAAGAATGCCTCACTCTCAACTCCATTTTGTCAGCTGCCCAGAACCACAAACCCATGTGGTTCTGCTTCATCAATAAACCATCTTTCTAATTAGCCTCCATGTTTCCATGTGGAAACTGAATCAGATGGATGTTTCTTCCTACCTAATCATGCACAGTCAGGTTCAAATCTGATTTCAGTTGCTCATTGCAACAGCTAGATAGTCTTTACATAAACATTTCTACCAAGAAAACAAACTTTTTCATGGAATTGTTATATAAAGGATGTCACCTTTTATAAATATTTTAAAATAATGGAACAAGGTATAAAATCTTAGTAAAAATCTCTGTGGTGACTTGCTTAATGCATCCTTCAGATTTGGCCTCCAAACTGAATTGGTGATCTACCATTAAAGGGAGTAATACCATTAAACAAAATGCAACAACAAAAGATTTTATATAATTGAATTTCTCTGTTATTATTGAACTCTGTTCACATGAAAGGCAGGATATAAATAAATAAGTAAATTAAATAAAAATATTATCTAGCAAAATATTATTCAGAAGAAACTATTTCACAAAATCTATTTACAGCAAGCAGTACTAGAACATGTTTGTTTGAAAACAATAAAACAACCAGAAAACAATAAAACAACCTTTGTAATTCTCTCCCTTTATTTCTGTTTCAATGGGGGAGAGAGTAAAAGAAAAGGATTTTTTAATGCACTTATTACCACTGGAATGGAAATTTTAGAATTACTACATTTTTTTTATTTGATTTGTCAATCGCTTACAAGATACAGGTATAAGAATAAATATAGTTTTGAATACACGAGATAGATACTTATAAGAAAAATAAAAAACAATAGGACAGGGATGGTAGGCACGATTGGTGCGCTTATGCACGCCCCCTACAGGCCTCTTAGGAAGGGGATGAGGTCAATAGTAGACAGTCTAAAATTAAAGTTTTTGGGGTTTGGGGAAGAAACCACAGAATCAGGTAGAGTATTTCAAACACTGAGCACTCTGTTGCTGAAGTCATATTTTCTGCAGTCAAGTTTGGTGCGGTTAACCTGGAGTTTGTATCTATTGTGTATTGTGTATTGTATCTATATCTATTATTGCAATCAACAAGAGAGAGATTAATAATACACATCACATCAACTCTTGATTAGCACATCAATTCTGCACATTTTGATTCCTGGTTGCCAGATATTGCCAAATATATGAATGGCTAATGAGAGCTAAACCATGCTACATAGCTGCTGATGAATGTGCTAGATACCATCCCAACAGCATACATTCTTCATCTGTCTGAATAAGTAACATATGTCCATAATTATTCTCCCCAGGGATAAGGGGACACTTTATAACAGAAGGTTAAATGCTTACTTATATATCTGCTTTGGTTATAGAACAGGCAAGAATATCCATGCAAATTTAACACACTTTGGGAAGGAGATGTATAACTAGCTACATACCTTCTTGAGGCACAGCTAGAATCAAATGAAACACATAAATAGTTTCCATGCACTTTGTTTTTACTTCATTACAAGCAAAGAAAGGATCCTTGCCAGAACAACTACAAGAATGTATCTTTCTGCTCAGGGATGGGATTCAAATTTTTTAACAAACGGTTCTGTGGGCGTGGCTTAGTTGGTGGGCTTGGCTTGGGGGTCATGTGACTGGGTGGACATGGCTTGGTGGTTGTTAGATCTGGAGGAGTGGGCGCAATAACGGAGACAAGGCATCGGTAGTGACACAACTCTTTAATAGTGACTTCAGAACAGAGCAACAAACTTGGGCAGCAGCTCTTTTATAGAGCTGGCTGCTGCCGCAATAACCAATGAGAACGAGTTTAACCGCACTTAGTCTTCCAATCCGGGATGGCCGCTGTCAGCCAATCGGGTTAGCCGAAGGCAGCCAATCATGATTGCTTACTTGCGGACCAATCCGAACTGCAGGTTTACGAGCCTGCAGTTGGAGCGAAGCTCGAAGAGTTTTTAATAATGAGTTTATTTAGTTAGTTCGTAACAGTGGTCATGTTATTGGCTGGGCGTGACCAACTCAACATCACTCACATCAAGGCACGCATCTCCTCGCCTGGCCTCTCATGACTGTGGGGATGCTGCAACAGTCGTAAGTGTGAAAAAGGGTCATAAGTCACTTTTTTCAGTGCCATTGTAACTTTGAATGGTCACTCCACACAGGCAAAGTGCCAGCAAAGGAGGGGGGGAAAAAACTCCAGAGAAGTTCCAGAGACAGGAAGTCTAGTCCTGCCTAGAATGTAATAAGGGTTAACAAAGAGGCAGTTTCTGTAAGCAACACCAGAATATTTCCGTCCTGCCTTCCTTACAGGATTAGGCCAGTAATTTCTTCTAACAACCAGAGGTCTGAACTGGTTAGAATGTTAACAACTGGTTCCAGCGAATAGGTGCGAACTGGTAGAATCCCACCCCTGTTTCTGCTCCAGGATGACTGAAATGAAAACCACACACCTGCTCCATGCAACATAGAAAAATAACCCCCACTGTCACAAATGTGAGCTTATTGTCACTAATGTGAGGTTATTTTCTAAGGATCCCAGACCAGTTATTGGTTTATTTGGGAAGGAAGGAGAGAAATCCTCCTTCTAGATGCCATGTTTCTATTAAGGCTTTTCTTTTCTCTCCTATAATTAGTTAAATATGTGAGAAATAAAGAGATTTTCACACCACCACTGTTTTCATTTCCCAACTCTCAAAAGCCATTTGAAGGCAAGCTGTGATCGTCTTCACTTCTTAGAGACCTAATAAGCAACTGAAAATTATTACTTTATGCTGAGTTCCACAACTGCAAAACTTGCTTTATGTCTCATTCTACGTAAAAGGGAAAGAAAGAAAAGGTTTTTAAAAACATCAATAATATGGCAATTTGTAAGGTCCTTCTTGCTTCCCTGGACTCCCCTAAAACTATACGTAAGGAAATAGTTAAAGATTTAGATAATTTGGCCAAATTGCAGTTATCGCTATTGGGACATATTTCGACAGTAAAAATGAATATTTTGCCAAAACTGTTGTTCCTGTTTCAGACAGTGCCAGTCAAGTTGGAAAAGTACTTTTTTGTAGAATTAAACAAATGTATACCTAAATTTATATGGCAGAGGAAAAAATCCAGAGTGAAATATAAACTATTACAGGATGCCAAGAATAAAGGAGGATTTGGCCTTCCAGATTTTGAATTATATTATGATGCTGCTATAGTAAACTGGCTTAAGGATTGGGTTAAATTAGAAAATAGAAGGTTATTAGTATTAGAAGGTTTTTATCTCCAACTTGGCTGGCACGCCTTCATGTGGGATGGAAAATCTAAACAACATTCATATTTCCAAAGGCACCATGTAAGAAATGTGTTGTTCAATATCTGGGGAAAGATTAAAAAAAACCACTACCCAAAGGTTCTATTGTGGCTATATCTACATTGGAAGCAGTCACATATCCAAGTCTATTGGATTATGAAAATATTGTCAGGTATAAAGATTTACTATATGACACTGAAGAGCTTAAAAATAGGAACCAAATACAAATTCAAGGAAAGTAGATAGCATGGTGGCCCTTTGCACAAATACAAACCCATTATAAAAAAGATAGAGAACAATTTGGCTTTAATATGATCCCACAAGAATTAGATAAAATATGGCTAGGAGAGGAAAAGAAAACAATTAGTAAAACATATAAATATCTTTTGGATTACAAATTAAAAGAAGAAATAGTCACAGAATCTATGATAATTTGGGCTAAAAACGTGGGTCATAGTATTGAATTAGATAAGTGGGAACACATCTGGCAAACAAATTACAAATTAACCATGTCAGTCTCGTATAAAGAAAATTTATATAAAATGGTTCATCGCTGGCACCTCAGCCAAGATGAATTCTGAAACAGTGAATAGGGTTTTGTGAAGAAATAACAGTGGCTCAAGCATGACCTTCTCTTTTTACCAGGGATCCCCACCCCCACCCCCCCAAGTCTGTGGATTGGCACTGGGCTTCAGCATGCCAGAAACTGGACCAAGCAAACAAGCAAAGTCCCATCCGCAGGATGTAGGCAGCATGCAAAACTACACCCCTCCAGTCTGTGGAAAAAACTCTTTCCTCGGAACCAGTCCCTTGTGCCCAAAAGGTTGGGGACT